TGGGGGGGGGTTAACGAGAGGAAAACCTTTTTTCCCAGGGGCAAACCCCTTTTTGGGGCTAACAAACGGTCTCCGGGGTTTTGGGCTTAGACTCCGCGGCTCAAGGGACCCGGGCCCCAAACCTTTATTAAGGAGGTTCCCGGCCCCAAGGGCCTGCCCAAGTGGGCAAAATTTTAAATTTCGGTTTACCACCTCTACCTCTTTTTTTTTGAGCAGTGGATCGAGCTCCCCTTTGGGGCCCCGGGGTTTGCCCAAATCAAGGGCCACAAACCCCTGGGGTTCGGGGGGGAAGGCCTCCCCCAACCCGTCTTTGGAAAAGTTTCGGGCCCCTAAAAATACGGGTCTTTTGAGGGGCCCCCCCCCCCCCCCCCTCCCCCCCCCGGTATGGCACCGTTTGGGAGTGCGTCTGTCATTCCCTCCCACTCCCCGGTGATCAGGAACGGCACATCTCCGCCCGCAGCCGCCGGAGAAGCAAAGGTGAGTTTGATGTACTTTATGATGCCTTCGAGCGTCCTTGAATTTTGCGCTGGTACGCCAATCCGCCTCAAGAATTCGCTGAACCCGGTAGGTGTGCCGTTGTGGTACGTGACGAGTTTCACCTTGCGCATATCGGTCTCGTCTCTTCCCGCAACGAGAATACAGGGCAGCGGCGTCTTGAAACGTGCTTCCAAGCCATCGATGTCGCCAAAGTTCTTCTTGAGATCTGCCTTCGCCGCTTCCTTAATGATCTTGAAGGTGTCCGCATCTGTTAACTTGGACTGCTTTGGCTGCTTGGGCCGCTTGGCGCCCCCCTCGAGCTGCCGCAACTCCTCTTCTTCACCATCGGAGACCGCCATGCGGTCAAACTTGGAGGACGAGGACTTGAGACTTCTCATTTCTTATACCCAAATATTTTTTTCTGAAAACCAGAAATTTCCGTGTTCCGATAGTTCCGATAGTTCCCGTGTGAGGGCCCAACTTGAGAATCGTGCTATGAGTTGGGTTGTTTCGTGTTGGGTTGGGTTGTGGTTGGGTTGGGTTGTTCCGCGTGAGGTTGGGTCGTCGGCGCGAAGGGTGAGGTCTCGACCGCCGCCGCTCACGCCAGCGGACGGCCAGTGCCGGTGTTTTTGGCTTCGCCACCGTCCAAGGCGTGCGCCATGCGCTCGCCGGCATCGAGCGAGCAACGTGATCGACCGAGCGGCTTGCTGTGTGGCCGCCTTCTTGTGGCTCTCGTCGAGAGCGTTTTGCGTCCCGGCGGGTGGGAGAA